TCCACCTGTGTGTTTTTATGCCAATGCCATGTAGTAAAGGCAGTCTCTTGTGTATCTCAGGCTAGCCTTAAACAATTAGTAGCTCTTTTAACATCTTTCTAAAAACACTTCTTTGCATGTGTGTGTGTGGATGCATACATGACACAGCACACATGTAGAGGTCATAGGACAACACACAGGAGTTGGCTCTTTCCATCCGCCGTGTGGGTTTCAGGGATTGAACTCAGGTTGTTGAGCATATGGAGCACTTTTTCCTGGTCAGCCACTCACTGCTCGCACCTTTCTGGGAAAAAACAAAGACAAAAAACCCAACAACATCAAAAACCAGTTTAACCCTGTCAGGTTGCCCCACTTTCTGGAAAGATCTTAGCAAGACGTCTCCCTTCAGGTGTGTGGGGCTTATCATGGGGGGCTTGGGGTGGGGCACAGCCCGAAAAGAGATGGCAAATGGGACAACCAGGAGGGCGTCAGAGCCACGGCAGGCAGCACTGGTCTGCTGTGCGTTGTCACCACGGACTGGGATTGTGGATGTGCACCACACCCCTGCCTTTACACGTGGGCACAGTTGAGTGATCGGGCATGTATAGTCTCAGGAGAGCGAGCCCTGTTAACTTCATTGGTTACATCCAGCATCCGGGAACATGAATGCTGCCCCGCCCCGCCTGGTCGGAAACTGTGTTCCCAGTTGCACTGACATTCATTCTGCGGGGGAGGGAGAGCAACTGACGAGCTGTGAAACTTGTGTTTTTGACTTCAAAGTGTCCATTAATGTGCCAGTTGTTAACAAGACCAGTAGCAGTCTCCGAAGGGATGCTTAGGCATATCAAAAGTGTGATTCATACTGAAATTGCACTTAAAAGATATTTGAGAAGAAACTGGCATGTTGTGTCAATTTAGGCTTGGTCTGAGTGAGTGGTGGAGCAATGTGAACTTGGCGCACTCTTCTTTCAGGGAACTGAAGACCACAGATCACCCCGGGGACAGCATTCCGTGCCATGTAGTTAATAATTGTGGCCCAAGTCCTCGGCCTTCTCAGCTCCACAGACCCCCACTTAGTGTGTCTGCTGTCAGCAGGCTCATCCTGCTGAGCTGGTCCTTGAGCTGAGGCAGAGAACCCTGCACATACCTCTGCTATCCTTGGTACCACCCCCCTTTCCACAGACCACCCCAAAATGTATCAGAGGTGAAAAAACTGAAGTCTCCACCCGGTGTCTACTGCTTTAACCAAGATGATATACTACTAGTTAGGTAGATCTGAAACTGCCCAGTCTTTCCATCCTACCAGTCTGTGGCTATGAAAGCACACAGTAGGACTTACTCCTTTGAGCTAGTCTCTGAGTGCACCATAATTCATTTGGGGGTGTTCCATCACCCTAGTTATTTCCCTCAGAGCAGTTTATAATCAGTTCTCAACTAATTCCACACACAGCCCAGGCATCCACTACCTCACTGAGGTCTCACTGTGGCAACCTAGCCCAGGCATCCACTACCTCACTAAGGAGGTTTCACTGTGGCATCCTAGCCCTGGCATCCACTACCTCACTGAGGTCTCACTGTGGCAACCTAGCCCTGGCATCCACTACCTCACTGAGGTCTCACTGTGGCATCCTAGCCCAGGCATCCACTACCTCACTGAGGTCTCACAGTGGCATCCTAGCCCTGGCATCCACTACCTCACTGAGGTCTCACTGTGGCATCCTTCCCTTGAGTGTCCTTAAATTTTGTCTGCTTTTAATTACAGTAAGGCTGTAGACAGGCAACTTGTACCTGAGAACTTTGCTCTCGATTGTATCAGGCCCTAGGCAAGATGACCTGGTCCTCAAAGGGAGGAAGCGGTCAGTGTGCAGTTACAGATGTGGAAACAAGCATTTCTCTACTAACCATCCCCAGATCCCAGGAGCTGTGGTGGAACTAGGCTCCCTCCCATTTTTAGTTAACCCAAAGTTCTCTGACCTAAATTCCCTCCTCTCCTGAAATTACAAAATCATTGGGTAATGAGAATGGAGCTTCATTGTGTCCTCACAAATATGCCACTTACTTGTATTTCTAAGAAACATGATCCTTAAAGAGTGGAAATGGCATGGTGATTTTGCTGAGGGAATCACCTCTACCTTAATTCCCTTCAGTGAACTTTCATGTGTGGTGTTCCATGGCAAATTGTCATATTGCTAGACAGCTGGCCCTTCACGATGTCTTTCTTCTTCATTGATGGTAGCTTATAGTTCCACCTGGAGACTTTGAAGAACTAAAGTCTTTATTTCCACCCCTAGATTTGACGCAGTATCTTGCATCTTAGAAGAGTAACATCAGCTCTCTGCATCCCAGGGGCGCCTGCCTGGTGCCACCCAGGCCCTCTCTTGCTTGTCTGCCAGGCTCCCCACTGCTTCCTCTAACTAAGCACCCCAGTTCCTTAAAGTGAGCTCTTCCTCCTTTGAATTTTTTTTTTCTGAGCCGTGAACCCTGTGCGGGGAAAGAAAGGGAGATGCTGAAGTGTGATCTAGCTAGAAAATGTCACTCCACGTGACTGCAAACACCCTCAGAGCTCAGCGTGGCTTTAGACAATGGGGAACAAACGTGAGGGGGACTTGCAGGGGCTGCAGCATCTCCAGGGCCCTTTAGCCCTGCTCGCTTGCTCCCTCAGACTCGCTGCCCCAGCTGTGAAGCAGGCACAGGAAGAGTTAGCACAGAAGGCGACAGCTGGGCTCACAGTATACCAGATTAAATTTGAAACCTGAAACTGAACGCCTTGCCAGGACAGGGAATGGAGTGAAATTTCACTCCTCTCCTAAGGAAACGTCTCAAGGAAAGATTCGGCAGCATGAGAGCACCGTGCACATGCTTCCAGCTTGCTTACACCTCCTTCCCGTCGGGCAGAGGGAAGCTTCCCTGGGTCTCCTGGCACTTCGCAGATGTTCCTTTGCATTCTGGGTAATTTGTGAATACATGTGCTGGGCATGTATCCTAGGGGTGACCTGGACCTTTGGGGCTCCAAAAATGGCCGTTTATGGCCACCAGACCCAGAGTCTGTGGAGGTGAATGAAGACAGTAGGGGGGTCCTTTGCTTCCCCCTTTGGGCTTTAAGGCCCCACGAGGGGTGGAGTGTCGCCCGCTTGCTATTTCTGAGGACATAGGATCATGACAGATTCCTTGCTTGGCTTTCTGGCTGGTCCCGGGGGAAGATGCCAGTCCACATGTGAGCCACTGTTCTCCGGAGTGTTATTCCTTTCCTGTGGGTGTAGAAGCTGCTGGGTCAAGCCTTGGCACATGAGCTGTCCAGATCAGTGATTCAGTCTACTGGTTATGCTGCCTTGAAACCACAAAGGGAGCTCACTAGTGTCCTTATCTTAAGGGGCCACAGGGGCTGAGACCATCAGTCAGTTCCCCTCTTCCAAATGGAGTCAGTCCCCAGAATGCACACACTGTGCCCTTTATAGGCACTAAGTAACTTTTCAAGGCTATACTTTTAAAATTTTTTTAAATGTTTTCTACTGAAACGAGGGAAATATGTTCCCCTCAAAAATATATTTTACAAAAATTAGATAATGGCTGGCAAGGGGGTGGCTCCATGTGTCAAAAGCGTGGTTGCTGCCAGGCCTGACAACCAGGCCTTTCCTTATTCCCACGTGGAGGGAGAAGAAAACTGACCGCCGTGAGTTGTCCCCGACCCCCCCCCACACACACACACAAGGCACATACATGTGTGCACACAGAATAAAGTGCAATAAAAAATAGAGTAGAAACAATAAGACTCAGGAAAAACAGCTGAGGTAGTGTTTGAAACCACAACAGTAAGAACCTTTAAGATACACTGACAGGTTTAAAGACAAGAGAAGTTCCTAGAAATAGGTATCCCGGGAAGTACAGGACCTCGTGCCCCACATCTGCATGCACTCTTGTGCACACAAGAGGAAGCTGCATCGGAGCAGGTATGTGAGGCAGGCAGGGCTGCTGAACACAAAATAGAGAGCATGCAGATGCAGGGCAGCGCCTGGGGCGTCTTCGGGCCCGCCCTCAGCAGCTGTTCTCTGCTGACAGCAGCCATTAGCTCCGGGGAAATGCACATGAACCAGCAAGTCCTCTGTGTCAGGACACTTGTTCCCTGATAACACTGGAGGCCATTTGTCTTCCAGACTGCCCAAAGCCGATTAACCCCACTGATAAACAAGACTGTTTCCTACCCTGATAGATAAAAAATATGAAGATCTTTATTATTGTTATGGTTAAAAAAAAAAAACCAAAAACAAAAACCATGTAACACCCCATCTTAACCTTTAGGGTAGAGTGTTAAGAAAGAATCCAAAGCCTTGCAACATGCCAAGTAAACATATCATTGAGCTACATTACCAATTTCAATTCAGTATGATGAAACAGACCTCTAGAACTTCCTCGTGCGTGTGTGCGTGTGTGCGTGTGCGCGTGTGCGCGTGTGCGTGTGTGTGTGTGTATACACGTATGTGTACCACAGCATAGTATGGAAGTCAGAGGACCATCTTTGGGAAACTCTCCTTCCATCATGTGGGTCCCCGAGACTGAACTTGGGCCGTCAGGTTTGGCAGCAGCCATCCTGACCTATTGAGCTGTCTTGCTGGCCCTCCAGAAGTACTTTTCAGTGTGCAGAACCAAAGCACCATGCCTGCTAGATGCACAGCCTCTCCATCTCCTCAGCCCCAGCCCCCACATCCTGCTCTGTGCTTCTGTGGATCTGACCACTTCACACACTGCTGGCAAGTGCGGTCTTCTTAGTGCTCATCTTCATGGGACTGGTTTGTCTCACTGACATAATGAAATCAGTGCCCTTGTAGAGTTTCAATTCTTGTCATGTGATGTGGCCCCTGGTCCCTTCCTGTTCCTGAGCAGAACCTAACCCCAAAAGGCAAATGTTCTGTATTACCAGATGGTAATCAACAAAGGCCTCCAGGCCTCACGGGCCTGAGTGTCTACGCAGTATTATTTCTAACGTTGGAGAGGTTTTAAAGCCCGTGTTGATCCTCCCCTTTCAGAGAGCTCAGAGATACGCTCAGCAAGTCTTACAGAACGAGTGCCGGCCCAGGTTCGCGAAGAAAGCCATGGCCCGGTTATTTGAGCACAGATACAGCGTGAACTTGGAGCCTTTTGTGCAGAAGGTACCCGGGGCCAGTGAAGCCGAGCTCAAGTATGACCCTCCTTTTGGATTCCGCAAGTTCTCCAGTAAAGTCCAGAGCCTCTTGGATTTGCTGCCTGAGCATGACTTTCCTGAACACTTGAGAGCCAAACACTGCCAGCGCTGCGTGGTGATCGGGAACGGGGGCATCCTACATGGGCTGGAGCTGGGCCACGCCCTCAACCAGTTCGACGTGGTAATAAGGTATCCGCTCTCCAAACCAGCCTTTGTCCAGACTTTGGTCTTGCACTCTGGGCCAGTGCAGCTCTGGGGACAGAGAGGAACCCTGGAAGCTCTTGGGATCTTGAAACAAAACCACAAATGGCCAGGTGTCCCAAACTACTTATTAGTTATCCTAGATTCAAGGAGTATGCTGTGTGCTGGCGTTTCTTGCTAAGCCTTCCAGAAGAGGGAGGTTTGGAAGGATGGGGGGCTGGGTAAACAGGACTGTTAGTTAGGCAGGGATTCAGGTTGGTACAGGACGAGAGGATGATGGGGACACCTGGCTTGGGAGCAGGTCTAGGGATGGTGAGCCCTGGGAGGCAGGGCTGGCGAGGATAGATAGCCTCTAGGGTAGTTAGAACTCAACACAAGCAGTAGACGGCCATCCTAGAGTTCTCTGACACACCTAACTCTTCAAAGGGGGCTTTGTTCATTTGCTTGTTGGTTTGGAGTTTGGGTTCTGGTTTTTTTGAGACAGGGTCTCTCTAACTAGCTCTGACTGTCCAGGAACTCACTATGTAGACCAGGTTGGCCCTGAACTCCCAAGTGCTGGGAATAAAGGTTTGCTCTACCACTGTGCTTAGAAGTTCTTTTCCTAGGTTAGGGTGTCGCTGAATGGTTGAACGCTTGCTTACAATACACAAGGCCCTGGAGTCAGTGATAGCGCAGGAAGGAAACACGGTTTCCAATGATAAATGTAAAATGTGCCCGTTATTAGGAAGAAAATAACAGCTCCCTGTGGCATGAGTAAGCAGCCACTGCTGATTTCCTATGCTGGCTCTCACTGTTGCTCTGGACATGTGTTTGCATCTGTGTTTCTCTCTCTAAAGACTGATTTTGGTTTGATTTGTGTGTGTGTATGTATGTGTGTGCACATACATGCAAGTACCCATGGAGGCCTGAAGAGGACATCAGAAGTTCTAGGCTCTTGTAAGCCACCTAATATGGCTGGAGAGCAGCAAGCACTCTGAACCACTAGGCCATCTCCCTCGCCCTGCTTTACAGAGGATTTTGAACTTACATTTATGATTAGTTTCTGAAGTCATATCTTAGAACTCCTTTAGAAGAAGATAAATTGTTCGGTGACCCTCTTGCCAGACATTAGAATGTTTCCAGTTTTTCACTTTTTATTATGAAAACTGCTTTGCGTATTTTTATCCACATGTCTTTTTGTCCAGCTCTGATTAGTTCTTTAGACAAGTTGTTTAGAGTAAGATCGATGTCTTCCAGGCCCGGGTCTGTTTTTCTGGCCCTTGGTACACCGTGGTAAATTAATCACAAGAGAATGGGACGGAGCCTAGGGATGCAGGTGTGACATGCATGGTTGGGGGTCACACACAGAAAGTAGAAACAGTCACAGAGGCCTGGATCCGAGCGACATATTGAAAAGTAACTGACAGCTCCTTTTAATGGTTTGAAAACTAATGTCAAGTGATACCAAGATTTCTACTTCAGGAGCCTTCAAGGGCAGGGGGGCGTCTGTGTACCAGGAATAGTGAAGGGTCCTTGGAGCCTGATTAGAAAGATTGGTTAAGAAGCAATTTTATTTTCATAATTTTGTGGGAATAGTACAAATAATTCCCATTTACCTTCTCCCAGATTCCCTGGTTGACCACACTTCATCCATTTGCTATTTTCCCTGTATCTATACAGATGTTCCTTAGCTTTTGCGGAGGCTTCCATCTGCACACCCAGCATGCATTTCCATCAGGAATGCAGTAAGCTGACAAGAGAGGTAGCTCCGTGCATAAGGCTCTTGCTATGGGACTGGAGTTCAGGTCTCAGTGCCTGAGTAAATGCCATGCGGGTGTGACAGCCCACCTCTAAATTCTCGTGAATTCCAGACTCAGAAGGCAGAGGCAGGGGATCCCGTGGGCAGCCTGGTTAACTAGACTAGCCATACTGGTCAGTATGACTTCAGTAGAGAGAGCTTGTTTCAAGTTGGAGAGCACTTGAGGAGGACTCCCCATGTCAGCCCATTCATGCATATAAGGGGACGGGAGGAGTGGGGTGCGCTGACTCCCCCTGACTTACCAGACAGCTTAGTGTAGAATGCCAGTCACTCCCCTCATTGTCCACATGGCTATCACTCTGTGGAATCCTAAAAAGTTTCACAGCATAAATGTTACCAGCCCAGGAAAAGAACAAAATCCCAAGTTCAGAATTAGGTTTCTGTCAAATGCACATTGCTTTGAACCATCACAAAATTGAAAGATTTTAAGTCGAGCTGTTGAAAGTCAGATACCATCTGTACTGTTACTCTCTGCCGACTCCTTTTTGAAAGGTGCAAATAGCAGACCCTGAGAACTTGAGTATGCTTCTCTTGAGAACAGGGAAACGATACTCAGGATCAGAAGTTAACATAATAAATTAGTAAGTTGTGTCTAATCTACAACTTCATCTATTTATAGCAATGATGCCCTTCCTTTTCAAAGCAGAAGAAAGAAAACTTCTGGCCAGTGGCATGCTTTGGCATTTAATTGTCTGTTGAGTAGCCTGTTTTAATAACCAGGGGACTAGGTGTTTAAGGTCTGGAAGAGGAAGTAGCATGAGATAGAAAGGCTAGACACAGCTGTGTCTGACGTGTTTAGGAGATTTCAGAAGATATTAAGTAGCCAGGCACAGTGGCATAGCTCTGTAACCCCAAGTACTCAGGAGACTTTGGAGTTCTGGCAAGAACTCTTCATTATCTGAGCAAACAGGAGATTTTTGAAGGAAGTAATATCCAGGAAAGCCCCAAATGTTAGGTTTGACTAAGCTTGAAATACTAGGGAATGACAGAACTGCTTAAGTTGACAATCTAGGGTTTCATCCTGGTGTTCCATCATGGGCTTCCGGCTGCATTCAGCCAGTGCCCTGAAGGACACCGCTGTGTAGAGCACCGAGGCCCTGGGAGGGACGCCGACTCCAACAGTGTCCTGATTCATGAGGACATGGCATAGGGTATTGGGATGTCATATGGTGTGACAAGATGGATAATGACTTCCTTTGTCAATTGTTCTTTTTTGTTTGACTAGGTTAAACAGTGCACCAGTTGAAGGTTATTCTGAACATGTTGGAAATAAAACTACCATAAGGATGACTTACCCAGAGGGTGCGCCACTGTCGGATGTGGAATACTACGCCAATGACTTGTTTGTTACCGTGTTATTTAAGAGTGTTGATTTTAAGTGGCTTCAAGCAATGGTAAAAAATGAAACCCTGGTAAGTACTCAGAATTCTTCTGGAAATCCAGCCTTGGTAAAAAGTGAGGGCATCTTGAATTGCAACTATGGGCTTTTATTTTTAAATAGACACAGTAGAATACACACTTTGTGTTGTCTTTGAAATGATATTCTCCCTCTCTGTAGAAGCCCCTCAGAACTCTTCCGCACATTTGTTTTCAGAACCTGATTAAGAACAGGCACATGGAACTGAAAATGTAGCTCAGTCTGTAGAATGCTTGTCTAGCATGCATGAGGTCTGGGTTCAGTCCCCAGCACCACACAAAACTGGCTAACCAGGTACACACCTACAGTCTCAGCATGTGGGAAGTGGAGCAGGAGGGTAAACTCTAGGACATCCTCATCTATATAGAGTTTGAGGCCAGTCTGGGCTACACGAGACCTTGTCTTAGAAACAAACAAATAAATAGACCAAAACTAGAAGAAGAATTTTATGTGAAAATGGTGGTCATTACTAAGAGGGGAGTATCAACTTTAGACTACGCTCTCTATTCTGAAGTTGATTACCTTGTTCTCCAGACATAGACTTGAATGACTTTTAGTTAGTTCAAGAAGTGAGATTTGCCTGGATGAATGTAAACTGTGCTGAAGATTATACATATAATCACCCCAAAGGTGTTCTCCAAAATGCTGCAGGCAGGGTCCTCTCATTGGAGTAATTAAGTCCAAAGCATTCTGGAAGGGCAGAGGCTTCCACTTGGTCAAGTTCCTCTTGTCGGTTTTTCTAGTAATCAGCTAATGCTACTTTGTAGTTCTGTCCATGAAAGTGAAATAATTATCAGAGCTCAGTTACCAAGCTGATCACAAGTAGTTCTCTCCAAAACTAACAAGATAGGGTCCACGGAGATGACTCAGAGGGTAAAGGTGCCTGCCAGCATGCCTGACAACCAGCTTCAATCCCTAGGAGCTCTGCGGTAGCAAGAGAGAAACGATTCCCAGAGATCACCCTCCGCACACATGCAAGACATGGTTAAAAATCCACATTTTTTTTAAACTATTAGGCCATTCTACGTGATGGAGCAGTTTATATGTCCAGAACCTGATTCTCTGTGGATTATTGTAACCCTCTGGATTTTCTGTTGGGAAAATGAGGTGACCTATAGTCATTTGCTAAGTAACTTCATGAGACTAGGAAATAAAGTCAGTGGGAAGTGGGTATGAGGTGAGAACCCATCCAGCAAGGCACTCACAGCACTTACCACCCTTAAATCGAGCCTGTTAACTGGCCTTCACTGGGGAACATGGTGACTGTAGACTGTAAAAGAGACACCCTGGCTCAGATCATCCTTGGGGAATTTCTTCCTCAAGCAAACAAGCTGGTTCTGTGGTTTCTGTTCAGGTCTACACCACCTTTGTAAATTGCAAGTTTCAGGGTTACATTATTGGGTAGAAGTACCGGATTTCCATGCATTTAGATGACTACGCTCTAGGGTGCAGGGTCCAAGGCCAGTTGGAGTTGTGCCCATGACCTTAGCATGATTAGCAGTGAATGCCTTCTCACCCTCCAGTGACAGGATAACATCATTAATCATCCCTAATGACTGCTTGCATTCTTTCCTCAGCCATTTTGGGTTCGGTTCTTCTTCTGGAAGCAGGTGGCAGAAAAAGTCCCACTCCAGGCAAAACACTTCAGGATTTTGAACCCACTTATCATCAAAGAAACTGCCTTTGACATCCTTCAGTACTCAGAGCCTCAGTTGAGATTCTGGGGCCAAGATAAGGTATTTTTGTTACTACTCAATTAACTGTTCTCTGTGTACAAGAAGAATGTTTAAGTTTTGTGTGGGCTCATCATTTACCCCGAGGAACATCCCTAGTAGGGAAACCTACTTATTGACTAGACAAGTCCATTATCATTACACCCCTTGGTGCCAGGGCTCCTTGTGGTTTAATTAGCCTTCTTCCTAGGTGCACTCTTTAGTATAGTAACACTTAATGTTACCGAGATGTTAATTAAGGTATCTTTGCCCCAGGCTACATTCAACTGCCAGACACTAAGAGGCACTTGTTAATCTAAAAAGGTTCTGTATATTTTATCTCTACAAGATACTAAGAATTGGTATTTACCAACACTTTACAAATGATGGTGAATGAAGTCAGACCTCTAAGACAGTGCTTTTCGGTTTGGCCCCACCCCAGACATTCAGACTTCATTGATCAGTGTTGCGTCTGTACATGGAGATTTTCAAAATTACCCAGATGATTTACTTTTCAGCCTAACTTGAGAACCTTTGTGTTCTAGGTTTCCATTGAGTGGGTTGTTAACCTGCAATTAGCATGTGCTACCAGAAGCGGGTGGTGTGGAGAATGCTTTTATTGTAGCTTGACCCATGTCTTTAAAACTTTTAAGACCTGTATGGAAATCCTTCTTAAATAAGATTTAGCATGTGCATGACGAAGTAAACATGTTCAAAATACAAACAATCCTTTCTTGAGCTAAAACAAAAAAAAAAAAAAAATGAGCCTAAATAAATAAAAAGGTTGGAGCTGGAGACATGGCTAAGCACTTACAGATAAGAGCACTGGTAGCTTAAGAGCACTGACTGCTCTTCCAGAGGACCTGAGTTCTGTTCCCAGCACTTACATCAGGTAGCTCCCACTATCTGTAACTCCAGTTCCAGGGCACCTGATACCCTCCTCTGGTCTCTTTAGGTACACACACACACACACACACACACACACACACACACACACCTTAAAAATATAAAAAGACAAGTTAGTTAATTAAAATTTAAAAATCAAAGAAGAACAAATGTCCTTAATTCAGGTCTGGCTTAGCTGCTGTGTATATAAAAATGGTCTAGGAACAGCAAATGGTTAACATTAAGTAGGGATGTGGGAGAAAAGAGAATTTAATAAGGGAGAGTGTGTCCCCCAGGAGGGTTGGGCTCTAGAAACCATGCCCTGGGAAGGACCATGGAGGGTCCTCTCTGAAGCAGACCTGATAGATCCTTACAACATACATACAAGTAACACACGGACCCAGCAGGGTATATATATGTGTATACATATACATATATGCATGCATGAAAATAAAGAGGCTGTGAATTTGCAGGAGAGCAGGGAAGGGTGTGTGAGAGGATTTGTTGTAATTGTTATAATTTCAAAAATTAAAATAGCTGAGTGTAGTGGTGCACACCTTTAATCCCAGCACTTGGTAGGCTGAGGCAGGTAGATCTCTGTGAGTTCCGGGACATCCAGGGCTACGTAGTGAAATTCTGTCTAGAAAAAAAAATAAAAATTAAAAAAGAATTAAAGTATTATTTTTTAAAATGAATAAATGAAATAACCAGTCTGTGTTCTTTTCAGAACATTCCCACGATGGGCGCCATTGCTATTGTCTTAGCCACACATCTGTGTGATGAAGTCAGCTTGGCAGGCTTTGGATATGACCTCAGTCGGCCCAGGACCCCTCTGCATTACTTCAACAGTCAGTGCATGGGTGCCATGTACTCGCAAGCCATGCACAATGTGGCCACAGAGACGGAGTTCCTCCTGAAGTTGATCAAGGAGGGCGTGGTGAAGGACCTCAGTGGGGGCATCCACTGTGAATTTTGAGCACAACAAACCTCAGTTAGAAATGCAGAGGACTGTGGTGAACAACCCCCACTTGCATTTCAGCCTGCAACTGCTTTGATGTGCAGCTGCTGTTTTTAAACTTTTAGTTAAAAAAGAAAAACAAAACAAACAAAAAAAAAAGAAATAACAAAAAGGTTTAGCTCCCCCACTCCTTCGCCCTATTTATTTGAAGTCTGTGTTGGGTTTTGCACATTTTTATAAGTTAATTTTAAGAATGGGATTGGAAAGACTTTTCAAAGAGAATCATATGGAATGATACTTTATTGTATTTTCAGGAAATAATTTAATTTGCAGAAACTACGCATGTCATCTGCACAGTGAGTAGCAGGTGATGGGGTGGGAGGAGAGGGCCTCTGTCCCTTGGATCATGGCCCCGGTGCCCGATTCTGGATTCTGCTGCTCTGTTTGGTAGAACTGACGGCAGAGAGACTTCCTGCTTCCTGGACGAAGGGCTTACTCATCACCACTGGCAGGGGCAGGAGGTTGGGGGCCGCTGGACACGTTCATGACCCCTGTCTGCGGTCCTTCTTCTGCCAGAACCGTCACAGCAGCTCACAGGAGCGAGCGGCGGCCTGGAGGGTGCCGGTCGGTGAACCACTGTTTGCTGCATACTGTGATGTCGCCTCAGGCTGCCGGAGCCATGTCTGCCCGCCCACACTGTCAGGACACTTGTCAACTCGAGAGAATTTTTTTTTCTGCCCTTCCAAAGCACTTACATGTTCCATAAGACACTGTTTGTCTGAGGCGGCACATCGGAACTGTGACACAAAGCCTCAGTTATCCAGAGCCATGGGGAACGAGCCCTTTCCATGGATGATCACATTTCTGAAGCACTGGAGTGAAATCCTCCCACTGTTAGAACTTGCTCATTTGAAAAAAAAAAAAAAAAAA